AGGGTTGGGAACGTCCTGTGGCGCCCCTCTTTTAGGTTCGAGCCCCCTATTCTTATCCTCCGGTCGAGCCTGTCTGTCCCCGGACCCGCTTGCACCCACGGGGATCCAAGCTGAGGCAGCCTTGGGGCAGGCCGAGCTGGGGGCAAAGGGTGCGGGGCAGGGACTGAACTTTGGGGTGGGCGATGCTCTAACACACCTGGACGCCGGGGGAGCGCGGCCGCGCTTGCAAAGACGCTTCAGAGAGGCAGCGAATGCTCTCTCCCTGGCAGGCTCGCTGCCTTCCCGCAAAGCAGAACAGAGCAGCATCCCCTCCGCGCTACCTGCCCCAGAAGAGATGCGGCGCCGCGCCACAGGGACACAGCCAGCTCCCACTGGGAAAAGCCACTCTTTGCAGCTCATATCCCCAACACGGCACAGCCCGCCCTTCCTCCCATCTCTAATAAACCCCCACCGCAGCGCTTGCCCCCACCACCCCCGCCAGAGACCAGACCAGGACCAACTTCTGCTGGCTGGGGTTTTATTATTTATTAATCCGAATTAAAAAAAAAAAAACCAAACAATCAACCAAACAGAAGCATTTTCACACCCCGGCAAGGTCAGGGTGAAAAGGAGGGAAAAGGCAATGGTTATAAAACAGGAACCCGAGGGCAAGGAAGAGCTATGCTCTGCCCTTGTTATGCAAGGCTGTGAGAGGAGGAGGGAAGGGAAATGGTGGGATTTAAGACACTGTTGGCACGACACTGCAGATGATCAGCAAAATGGGCTACTCGAAGAGGGGGGAGAAATTAAGTAGCTGCCCAGGCTTGCCTGCAGCCAAGAGCAGGCTTTGATGCCGCAGAGCCTGGGAGCTCCTCCACTGCTTCCGAGAGCCCTCTGCGGCCACATTAGCCCCTCGGCACAGAGGCGGCAGGTAAGTGGCTGCTGGTCCAGTTTAATTGCAGTGGGGCTGTGGCGGATGCCAAGGCAGGTTTCAAAGCTGAAATGGATGCACCTGGCTGGCAGAGAGGAGCGCAAGGAGCGGGGGAAGGGAGGGGACAGGACTGAGAGGCGCCTGGCGGCCAGCAGCGGGTGCAGAAGGCAGCATACCTGGAGCCTGCAGGCGGCAGGGGATCAGTCGGTGGTCTGCCCGCTGCCTCAAGGCAGGTGCCCTCACACTGAGCTCCATGTGATCAGCCAGTCAGCAGCCTTCCCAGGTCTAGATGAGAGGCCAGCACACATCAGCCTCTGGCCACTGGTCAGCTGTGGGAGTGCACTATTTACAGCACAAGAGGCACAATCCCGCCGTCTTCTTTCCCTGAGCCCTGGCAAGCAACCTTACGACGCATGGGTTCATTGCAATTATCCACCCCTCCTCTTGGGGCAAGCACTGCAGTGGCCTGGCTGCAGCCACTTCCTCCACACACCAAAGGAAAGGAAGAGAGAAGCTCACTGCGCCAGATGGATGCAGAGCCAGGAGCAAGGATGCGCTGGCAGGGAAAAAAGCTGTCCCTGGGCTACCTGCAGCTGAGTAGCAGTATTAGGAGGGGATAAAACTGGATCAGCTTTTATTCAGTTCACTCATCTAAACAGACATGTAAACAAGAAGTGACAAGGAACTGGAGGGATGTGGCGCGCATACCTGCTGTCATGCACCACTAGGGCGGAGGCTGAGTTTGCTGGAAGAGTGGACATCTGCACTACCCCCTGCCTGGAGGTGGGGGAAGAGATGCCACCCAAGCCTCCCGGAGAGACTGGGATCTATACAGATTGTTTTTATTGATTTTTTCTTTGAAGCTGTAGTATCAGCATTTGCTGGTGTTGGGATCCCCGGAGGCTTGCTGCACCGCTACAGAGCAGCCCTTTGGCTGGGTGGGATGGTCCGACAGGCCGGCAGCCAGCTGGCGTGCCCAGTTTGTTGCAGAAGAGGTCACCTGTTCCTGGTTCTTTGTAAACCTGAGCTGTTTCTTCCCCAGTGCCCCACCTCCCCCAGCAGTCATTGCGGAGGAAGAGGGATGCCCCGTGGGTCAGTGACTTGACCCTCTTGCAGGTTCTTGACAAGCTGAGCCAGCCAGCGTTTTGTGGTGGTGTCATCCTTCAGGACCTGGGCGAAGGTGGTGTCCTTCAGCTGGTCAGGAAGGCACTGCCTGAGAGCTTCACGTGCCCTACATCAAGAGACAAGAAACGGGGCCCAACAAATAAACTCACAGGGGCAAGAGGGGAGCAAACCCCACTGGGGACACAGCGTTGCCTGGAGGTGTCCCTGCCACAGCCAGCCAAGGAAAGCACTGAGCAGCAGCAGCACAGCAGGTGGCACTCAGCCAGCCAGCACAGCTCCCACCCCTCACACTAACCCAGCCAAGCAGCACCTGCACCCCAACACACAGCAAAAAAGTAATGCGATGCCAGGAGAGACTCAGGCAACAAATACACACCCAGCAGCTTTGGGCAGAGCTACTGGTCAGCAGGAGACTAGTTTTGTGAATAATGAATTTCATCTGCTGCTAACAGCCTGTCTGATGAAGAAGAGGGAGAGTATAGTGTACCTTCCACCTCAGCCCTTCTTTGTATCTTGTTCAAGCTACATTTGGGCTCTGGCAGTAGTAACCTGCACAGCTAGAATTTGCACAATCCCCAACAGTCACTGTTTCTCCCACATACCATAGAAGCTCCTGTGACTGTCAGAAAAAAAATCAAAGCAAAAACCCCACCCATCTTCCAGACTGAGCTAAGGCTGACAGACCAGGGAACCTTGATTCCTCCCCGATGGGTACTGTGGAGAACTGAAGAACTGCGCTTCCAAGGGCACAGGAGAAGCCCCTGCCCAAACTCATAAAATGTTTACCTGGGGTTATCAGAAAGGCGAAGATAGCAGCGGACAACATGTTTCAGCAGCCGTGCCGATGGCTCCTTGGAGAGCTGCAGGACCATTTTACCCTGTTTGACAGAGGCCAATGCCACCAGTTAGTGTCTTTAAAAGAACAGCTTCACAATCACCAGAGACTGGGAAAGATCATTAAACCACTCACTCTGGCTTCCCACACAGCACAGCCCATTTACCTTTTATCTAGATACCCTTGCATGGAGCCTGGTGCTGCTTGCCAAGTTGCCTTTGAGAATAGCAGCTTGCCATGACTTGGAAAGGATTCTCCCAGAAGCTTGGGGAAAGCTCATCTTATTTCTGTTTAACTTTTACTTTCCTAGGACTACTTAGCAACTCTTTGTGGGATTGAAGAGAACCTGAGGTTTCCCCCTCATGGAAGACAGACACATTACAAACACTTTGATAAACTCAGGCTGAGTGACACCATGAGGTGTGTTCCCAAGCTCTGCAACACCCCCTGTTCTCATATGAATTCCCTTCATTTCAACATGCTTTTAAGACAATAGCAATACCCTGGAAAGCCAGGCCATAGGACTTGCCTCACCCACACCACATGTAGCAAGATCCTTATCCAGTCTTAGCATGCATCCAAGCAGCGTATTTTTTCTTTCTGCTACATCCCTCGTGAAGCTGTTCCAGGGAAGCAAGGCACAAACAGATCTTCCTGGCCCAGTCTGTTTCCCACAGGAAGTAGGACTTTGCACATGGCTGCACCTTTGAACGTGCTCAGCTGAGCAAACAGTGTGGATGCCTTCACACACCTGCTCTGAAGAATTTAACAGACAGCTGGCTTGTATTTAGGAGTCAATCACATCTGCTCAACAGGTTTTTTTCCTGTAAACTACATTGGCTAGCACTAACTATTTTCCCCATTAGCCAAATTCACCTGTATTTCAATATCCTGGTCGTTAGCAATTAGCAGGTCCCCCTCATCTGCCCTTTTGCAAGCTTACTGTTCTTAGCAATTCCCTAGGATACCAATTATTTCTTCAAAATAAATAACCACAAGCTCCTCAGAGAGTTCCTGGATGGAAAATGCAAACTTGCTCTTTTAAAAGCATGTAATACTTGTGTGACATCTTACTCAGTTATCAAGACATGGAAGTAAATCATCACCCTCATTAGACAGGAGTACACTATCCTTATTTTTGAAACAGACAACAAAAAAGTCTGTTAACATTTTCATCTTTCTCTCTTGCACTATGGAATATTGACCCTGCCTGCCAGTGCTTCACCCAATGGTGGGACTACACATGCTAACACAGGTTTACACACCCACATCCTTCTGTGTTCAAGGAAGAATTCACATCTGGGAATAGCATGGTCACCTTTCCCTACCTCAGAGTTTCTAACTGCATCCTTCACTTTGCCCCCAAGTCAGATGTACTTTCATCAAAGCTGATCTTCTTGAATGCAAAAATCACATCACATTGGATACTAGGGACATCAGCTCAAAATCATTCATATTTTGCTGTTTGTGGGTGAATAGGAGGCAATGTTTTCTTTACATTTGCAAAAGTAGACAAGTAAATATCCCTAATGAAAATATTAACATTTAGTCAGAGAACCAGCATTGCTAAGTGCCTAACTCACTGTTGCATTTTCTTCTCCTGAGACCACCCTTTTAAAAGCAAACAAACACACACAAAAGCATGGCAACAACTATTCCAGGGTAGATTTATATTCCCCTTGGCAAACTCAAAGTTAAAGCTCAAGTTGGGGCTATTACTCCTGGGATGAACAAATTTTGAGTACCCAAACTTGTCCTTTACAGGGATCACAGAATGGACAGAACTTGTTTGCTCTCTGTATTCGAACACAAAAATTTGAGCACCTGCAGCAGCTAGTAGGAGTCAGATTCAGAAAGGAAAAAAATGAAGGTGGCATTCCAGGCAGCAGACAGAAAACACATGAAACTCCTTGGTCAAAGACACTGTGGGTGCAAAGGGTTTCTATGGGTTCAAGGGGTGGATGGGACAAACACTGGGGCTTACTACATAGAAACCCCACAAGTGGCCCCAGAAATCCACAGCTGTCAGCTGTGGGACTGTTATGAGGACAAGGATGATATATACTTGCCCTGCTCTTTCAACATGCTGTGAGAGACAGGGATGGGACATAGATCCATGATCTGTGTGATCATTATTACATAAAATCTAATCCATTCACATCCCACCAACAACTGGAAACACCCACAACTCTGGAAAATATTTTTCTTCTCTGAAGAGGTTTACCTGTTTTGTCTTGGGGACTTAGTATATCACAACTAATATGTGTTCTCTTGACATGGAAACCAGAAGTATACAAAGGAAATGTGGAAGCAGAGCTACAGTACCACAAGCAATTAGCCTAAGAATGATCTGCCTTCCTCATCCTGTGCTCCAGCAAGACAGCAGTAAAATAGTTGCTGAAGAAGCTGACTGCTATAGCATGGTTTTTTCTTTTTTAGATATAAATACTTTAAAAACAAATAATCTTACCAGTATCATGGCAACATGGGAAAACCGCTCATAAGTCTGACAGATATATGCCAGCCCTGTGTCATCCAGGAGGATTTTCTGAAGAATAAACGTAGCAACCTAGAATGGGGAGAAAGCAGAAACCAAAGCATATAAACAACTTATCTACCCTGAAAAAGGACAGCCTTTGTGTGGTGCCCTTTTCAACTCAGCCCCAGAGTTGAAAAGCCTTCTAGCAGGTAGAAAATGCTTTATTCAGTGAAAGTTAGAAGCCAAAAGAAAATGCAGGACAGTACACAATGCCTGGTATCTCTGACTAAAGAAAAGAGATGGACACAAAGCAGAGTGTACAAGATGACTGGATTCAGGTTGCATAAGATGCCAGCTACTGCCAGGCCACTCAGGCAGCCTCAGGTCTTGGTCTGTTTGGTTTTTTGAGGAGGTAAAAACTCCATTCAGACTTGTCCCAGCATTTGCAACAGCAGAGAAATCAGCTCTGCAGGGCACTGGCTACCTGGTCAATCAGAGACGAACAACAAAGTGTCTTTATTAAAACAAAAAAAGAAGGTACCGTTTTGGAGAGCTCACTTCCAGACTCCATAATACGTAAGCACAGGGGGATAATTTCTGTTGTCAATAAGAAATTTATCACTTCTTGCTCGTCAGTTTTCACCAAGGCCCCTTGAAGCAAAAGCAAAACCCAAAATCAGTAAATGATAAACTGTTTCAAAAAAATCTCACCTTTCAAAGAGGGCCTGTGCTCTGCCCTCCCCAGAAACTATTCTGTCCGAAAGCCAGGCAGAGCAACTGTCATCCTAGACGTGTTGCTGCACATGGCTGGAGAAGAAATCATTTTGGCAGGGTAAAAGTAATGGGTTTGGGGATTATTTTTCAGAAAGAGGATGCATTCTTGGCTCTCCCTCAGTAGTAATACAAACACAAGAGGATCGTGCATTTTGAGACTCTTTATGTACTGAGAGATAAAATGATTTGGGCAGGAAGAAGAAAGAAAAAAAAAAAACAACAGGATAAAGGGAAGACAGCGGAAATATACCCAAGTGAATCAATGACAGAAACCCAAATAAAGACCAGCCTGCACCCACCTATCCCAGTGCCTAGCTGGGAGGGCTGAGGGTGAAGGTACAAGTCTGCAGGTACTTGTACTCAAAAAGTATTTTTGGAATGCATTTAGATTTCAGTGGGTTTTTTATAAGTCTTTTGTAAGTGAAAAGGAAGAGGAGTCTACCTCCACAATGGAAAAGGGGTAGTTCCTTCTCTTAATACTACAGGACTTGGAAAATCCCATTAACAAGAGACCTCTGACTTTGGTCATGCAGGTCTCTATGTCCACAGCATGAACTGCTCTAACTCAGTAAGAGCTCAGTGCTCCAGCATTAGTCTGGCTGCTTACCAATGACTCCGAGGCTTGTGAGCCGCAGGTACTCGAACGGACGTGTCTTGCTGACTGTGTGCAGGAAGGGGTACAGGAAGAGAGGAATATGAGCTGCCAGAAAAGCTGATCTGTAGGAAAGAGAGAACACACCATGTGAACAACAAGGAAAACAAAGTGAGCGAACAATCTAGCATCACCACCCAGAGCTTCACACTATTCCCAGTGGACCTCATTGCTACTGCTCCTCAAAAGTGGGTAACAGTAAATTCACTGATGGAAAAGCACAAAGCAAATCCTGCACTGGGCACAGCACAAAACCTAACACCTGATCTGTCAATTACCTGCACTCCTGCCTCAGCTGACCAGGAACTGAGCACACCCTATTGTTCTTATTACCTCCTCCTGCCACCCAGACCCTGTTTTGTACACTCACTGCTGCATTTCACCCTGCAGGTTCCCAATGGCAAGGATCGTCAGCCACAATGCCTGTGAAAAGTACCTCTAAGAAGTACAGACTGGCTGAGCTTTTAGGTATCATCAGAGTTTAAATGTGCACCAACACCTTTCCCCCAGAGTCCTCACACTGCCTTCTGGCAGTAATGAAAAATAAAGACTGCAGGTGGAATGCTGGAGGTTGCTCTGCTAACAGAGGGAAGCTCTCTTACACAATCATCCAAAATACTCCTCCATTTCAGTTTTCAATCTTTAAATGTAAAGATGAGTCATCAAAAGCTATCCTATTTCTTTGGATATCATCTCATGGAGGATTACTGTTTAACACTGCTCTGCAGCAGCTCAAAACCAACTTCAGCTATGCTGCTGCTCAGCAGTAACAGAAGCATGAGATTGTGGATCTCTGGGTAGTTTCCTCCTGAGTTTTAACTACTGATTTTGGCTGAACTCACAGAATATTCTGAGTTGGAAGAGACCCACAAGGATCATGGAGTCCAGCTCTTAAGTGAATGGCCCATATGGGGATAGAAGCCACAACCTTGGCATTATTAACACCGTGCTCTAACCAAGCTCCTTGTCTAAATAATTATTAGCTCAATGATCCTTGCACACAGCACTGAACAGAAAGGTAGCCTCAGCTCTGGCTGACCTCTCAGAAGCTGCCACAACCCAATGTTCTGAGCATTTGAAAGATCTCGGGATGACCCAGGGAATGCAATGCATTTAGGACCATAAAGCTGTCATCCTGATAATCCATGCAAGCAAATAAAAAGCAGCAGGTAGCTGCCTATCTATCAGCTCTGCTGTCTGTTTCACTTCTCTCAAGTGAAAAAAGAGAAAGGAGCTAAAGTGCTTCTAAAGTCAAAGATATGTGCTGAGGTGTCAATATCAACACCTCAGAAAACTCACACAATTTGGAAGCACTTACCTCGTTTCAGGGTGTGATGCAACACACTGTAGTAGAGCTAAAGCATTGCAGACTCTGTTGGACTGATGGGCTGTCAAAGTCGGAGGGTTGATTGATGGGTAAATATTTACAATTTCCTAAAAATTAACAGAGAGCAGAAAGTTAAAGGAGACAAATATCAGAAAACTACACCAAAGCACTTGCCTGGTAAGGAAGTGCAGTGACAGCAGAAAACGGTCTGCTCCCACCACGCCATCACTTTCAAGTTACACGGCAGCC